TTTGTTTTAATACTTTAAATTCTGCTCTTATTTAATTAATAATGCTATTAGCTTTTTTTTTATAAATTAATAAAAATCTAAGGTTTTAAAATAAAGATCAAAAAATAATTCTTGAGAAAATTTCTATCTTTTTACTAAATCTTTTAAATTTTCATTTTAACAATTCTTAATATTATCTGATTTGATTTAAAATTGATTTTAAGTCTTTTTCTTAAATTATACATACTTGAATATATAATATTAATAGTTTAATATTTAATATTATTTAAAAAGCATATTGCATTTTCAAAAGAGTTTAAAGAACTACTTCTTTTTTAATTATTCTACTTATAAGCTATTAGATATATTTCTTTTAATTTTTCATCTTCTTAATAAATATATAAACTTATATTATTTATTAAAGATACTTTTAATATTAAAATTGCTAATTTAAAATAATTAATCATTAAAATGCATATAAAGTTAAATTTTATCAAGTATTATTTGCTTTTACAATATCAATATTTTAACTTATTTTTTTCTTTACCTCTTATATTCTTAATTGTATTACTTATTATTAATATTAATAAATTTGTGATTTTTTTAATTGTTGCTTTTTTTTATTTGTTACTAAAAAAATAATGGAATATTTGTATTTTTAATTAATACTTTTATAACTTTTAATTTTTTTTCAATATTTAATTGAAAAATATAAGCTATATAAGGAATTATTTTACAGATTTTTATATTATTATATATTTTCTTTATATATAAAGTATTATCAATTATTATAGTATTTATTTAAAAAATCAAGTAAATACTTTTAAATTTCAGTTACATTATGTGAATATGGTAATTCTAATACTAAAAACTATTTTATAAATTTAAATTTAAAAGTTACCTAATATGCTTTCATATCTAAATAAAATAAATAAGCTAGTAAATTCTAAATATTTATGTTAAAAAAATATATTGTATTTCTATGAGTTGATTTTTAAGTGTATCTTTTTTTACTTCATAAATTATTAAAATTTGATTTTTAAGAATCTTAATATAAAAAATTTTATAATATTGATCAAAGCTATTTATTATATTAATAAAATTTAAATCCTCTATAATACCTAAAGATTATACTATACTAATAACAAATTCTATGATATTTTTAGTTAAAAATTTTGTTTAAAAGTATAATATAAATTAATTTTATTAGATTGTTAAGGAATACATATTAATTTTTTTTTATTGCATTTCATTGCAATAGCTTTAATAATATTTATGAGTACTTAATAAATGTATTTTTATTAAACTTGAAGAATCACGCTATGTAAATATTTTTACATAACTTTTAATTTAACAAATAATTTAAGTATTATTTTTATTGATTATAAAAAATTTTCATATCTACTTATTTTAGGTTTTTATTTTTAATTGAAGGTTTTTTTTGATAAAGATTTATTATTAATTTCTATATTATCAATTATAATATTTGAATTATCAAAAATTATATTATTATTAATTTCTTATACTATTATACAACTATTTTCAGATTAAATATTTGTTTCATCTTTTATAGTCAGAATCACTTTCACTTTTTTGAATTATTTCTTCTGTTATTTCTTATAATAAATTTCCCTTTTCCAATTTCTTTATTTCTTTAAATATATATTTATATTTAAGGGTTAAGCTATTAAAATCACTTTATGGGATAAGAAATTGATTTTGAATAATATTTGCTAGGATATTAAATACCCACATTCAAACTATTAATAATGGAATGGTTTTAATTAAAGTTAAAAAAATTTTGAAATTTATAAGAATCCAAAATCTAATTTTTAGATTTTTTTTGACTGATGTTACACAAAAAATGAGAAATTTTGATGACCTTAAGATAATCTAATTTAAAAATTTAACCAAATAAAGTTCATATATCATATAAAAATTTGATTCTGAAAGTGGCGTAACGGTGAGAATTTATTTTATACTATGTCGATCAAATCAACTCTATAATAACAAGCTTATACTTTTAAATAATTGTAATGCGCCATGTGCTTAATACGATTTATTAAAATCGAATTCCAATCCCTACCTAATTTAAGGTTTATTAACTTAAAATATATTTATTGTATAATTAATTTGTATATAAACTCCGTGAAATCACAAAAAAAAATATTAAAAGATTTAAAAACAAGATCGTCTACATCATGCATGTGGGTTGACCACGATAATAAATTATATTGAAACATATCATATATATAATTATCAGTCTAAAATAATAATATATCATTTTATTACTAAAAGATACCGTCATTTAATTTTTAAAAATCGATATTAATAAACATGAAACATTTAGAAATTAACTAATTAAATAATTTAAATTAAACAAAGACAATTTAACATCTGATAAATCCTCGACATCATTGCTGTCCTTATTATGGAGAATTCGGGCGATTTCGCTCTATTATTTTCGTGATAATTAAAGTTTCGGGCTAAACTCTCTGACTAATTCCTAAACTAGTTTCGTCTTAAAGACCTAAACGATCCTAAACTAGTTTCGCCTCACATCCTTTTAACCGTTTTCCAATATTTATTTTGATTTTTTCGGTTTTTAATACAGTCAACTTTCTATTAATGCACTACAAAATTGCGTGTTTAGAGAGGGTGAGCATTCCCTTAAATTAGAACGATAAGAAAATTAGTTTACAATAAGTAAAATTAAATTTTAATATAACCTCAAGAGGTAAAAGTCCATCATCATGATAATTTATTGCCCGGAAAGGGATAATGATTATATGGGATCTTTGCAATAGAAAAGGGGGGAGAAAAATCAATTTTACTTTTTATGTAAAATATGATTTTTAGGTCAAAAATATGTTTCAGATTTAGCATTAACTCATTTTTTATTTTTCCCGACCGTTTCCCCCCTTTCTTTGCAAAGGTCCCATATGATGTTGGCGAAAACAAAATTGAGTGACATAAACGGTCTTACTTCATTAATCTTGGAGTTACTTCTTGTTCTTCCCCAAGTTTAAAATAGTGTTGGCAAATGAAATTATGGACTCGATTTTATATATTTCAAGTCGAAATGATTTGAAATATATCGGTTTGAACTTCAACTTTTCGATGGGTGAAAAAACATATAAAAGATATAAAGATATATATATATATATATATATTTTTTTGTTAAAAAAAGCGCATTTAAAAATTTCTTCTTTTTTATCAATGATATACAAACCGTGTTTATCATTGATGTCACGATACAAAGTAAATCATATGATCGTGAAGAAATTTTAATACAATTGAAAATTAAAAGATTCTCATTCTCATCTTTAGGGACAAGTTAACGCTTATAAAATCTTAAAGGTAGCCAAATTTCCTTTTCTGATTGATTTAATCCATCAGCGATTTCACGGATTTCCAAAAATCTTTCTCAAACGTAAATTTCATTATGGGACAAAGTGAGGGATCGTCCCATTTAGCTACCACATGTTAAACAAAGTATTTCATTTTATCGTTTCAAAATAATAATGGTCATAATTTTCCTCGTGCATGCTATCTAGATTTCATTTTACTCAAGAAAAGGATACAATTGTCATGACCGGAGAATTTCCAACCTCCACTTGCTATAAATACCAAATATGTTCTGTCCTTACTTTACTTCCTTTATTTTTATGGTAAAAATAGACAATCAATCGACAAAGAAAATATAGGTCTTTTATAAAAATACAAAAGATCTTTGTTTTCCTGAAAATTAAAAATAAATAATTACGCCTTGAATTTGTGCTGATAATTCCATTTTGAAAAGCTTTATATTAATGTGCAGCTTAAGCTTTTTCCGAACTTATTTTAAAATGCAAAATAATTTTTGGTTGGTGTGTTGTAAAAGTTTCACCTATAAATAGCACATAATTATGCAGCTCACCCTGTTTTGTAATCGATATAATTTATACAATATATAAATAATTATCACAGTTGACAATTATCCGGTTTTCATATGGAAAAGTATGAAAACGTAAATTGAAAATCAAAAAGGATGTGCTGCTGCGCCCTTTTTTCAAGTTATAAAATCAAAACAAAAAGAACCATTTTCACCTTTTTTTCACGCAAGGATAATCCAACAGAAAATAGCAGAAAGGGATATAAATGTTGGGAACAGCACAGACCAAATGTCAAATGAGCGGCGGTTTCGTAATTCCGTTTCTGATTTGAGAATGTTTCGCTGAGAATTTCACCGTAATACGAATTTCCATAAACATTTCTCCGAAATTTTATTCATTAATCATTATTAAAAAGGGAAATTTCAATTAAAATAAATCCCAAATTTAGAGCAATCTTCAAAATCCAAATGGTTCTATGAAAATCTTGCGGAGCATATCTTACATTAAAATTAAAATAAAATAAAAATAAATATGATACAATTTCGGTTTAAAAAAAAAACAAACGCTTTTATTAACTATAATGGTTTTATTTGAATCATTAAGTTCCTCCGAGTCAAATTTTGGAACTAACCAATCTCCGTCTTTTACTTAAACTAAAGAATATCCTTTTAAAATAGCAAAATAAATACAAAATAAGGCCAAAGTTTAGAAACTGGAGTTCTCAACATTGTTGTTTTAGCAACTATTAAAAGTGGAATGATTTTGCAGCGCAAATTCATAACTTTAAATAAAATTCCTAACCCGATATATCCATTCTTTCTACGTTTTTGTTTAAATAAGTGGGGTAAAATTGTAATTGTAATTTATTAACCTTTTTCCTAGCCTTTTCTCTTATCCCTCATTCTTTGCAAATTTTATCCTTGTACTTACGTTTTTCAACATAAAAGGCTACTTGTTTAAGATTCTTTTCCTATTTCCGAAAGAATCTCTCTTTTACATGATAAAAAGTCATTTACAGAAAAAGAAAGAAAATAAGACCAACAGTATAACAAACTGATAAACACACATTTTACAAGAATTTGATTATATCCATTTCCCTTCTTTGTAAAATTTTACCTTTTTCTGTAAAAGATCTTTTTTGTGAAAATGTACTCATTTAACGGAGATTTTGATGTTTCTTCTGCAACTCGCAGTGCAAAAAATATTTCCGTCACGAATAAATTAAATGATTATTTTAAAGTTTCCCTGGAAGAACAAAAAAATAATCTCATTAATAATGCGGAAAGTAATACGACGACGAAAATTGCTTGTTCACCGATTACTTCTATCAATGAGGAAAGTACCAACGTTTCCTCATGTAATGAAAAAACTCATCAACAAGATGATAAAGCTCTACATGGTAAGTCAAGGCAAAAAATATTTATATGTGTGTGTGTGCGTGTGTATATTTGTTTAAATTGATTTTTGACCATTTTTTTTTTTTTTAATTTCTCTTTAGATTCGCAGGATGACGACGAAGCACGTGCATTTAAATCCCAATTTGATGAAATTAAATGTGCGACAAGAATGTTTGAAAATTCTAAAAATAATCGATTTCAAGGATTTGCTGGGCGGGTACCCACACCTTCACAGAGAAGAGTTGGTGGTATGTAACACCTTCAACGTTTCAGTGGCGTTTCATTTTCTTATGTCTTACTAATATAATAACACATTTAATATTGTTAGAAACGGGACCAAATTTGTTTCATCAAAGATCGTATTCTTACTCAACGTACCAACAGCAAACAAACCGACAAATGTTAAAACCCCAGCGAAGTATTTCATCTATTAAAGGATTATCTCTTAACGGGAACGCACCAGCATATTCCGGTGGCAAATTTTATTCGAATTCGAATCAAAGGCCTTCGACTCCATATACTTCCTATGGATTTGATTTATTCGATAATGCCGATGATATATTTCCTCCATTACGACTCCAATTGGATGATTCAAACTCTGTTAATGGTAATGATGATGCGTTTATGAGACATAAGGATATAGAAAACGGCGGGGGTAGAAGTTTTAATCACAGCAGATTCGGAAATAATGGTTCCGTCGGTAAGTCTCACGTTTGAATGTTTGGTGTATTTGGTGTACTTTGTTACATAAAACGATTTCTCAATTCTGACTTACGATTTCAGACGAATGGGATGATTCTTATCCTTCCACACCACTTTCCAATGGTCAATTTACCCCACTACCACTTACTCCTTCTTCAACCTATTCGAACCGATCTCCATACCTTGCACATCAAAATTCATTTCTGGATGATGATGAACTTATTGAAAAGGCTAAGCTCCTTGAAGATAAACAACGTTTGATTTTAATTCAACAGCGTCAATTAGATAATGCACTTGCTGCTTTAAATGAAACTGAGTCTAGATACATGTTAAATAATACAACTCCTCCTCCTATGCTTGCGCGAGGAAATTCAAACCCGGGTTTACCAAAAAATTCTTCTTTTGGAAATAAACTTACTGTGCCCCCTCCACGTTTCCAAACTTCTCAAGAACCTATTGGACCTCCAACCAAGAAATCCGGATATAATACTTCTCTACCCATAACTCCCACAGAAAGCATTAGCTCTTCTCCTACATTTTCATTATTTTCCAATCCTCCAGCATTATCGCTTAATCAAAATTTGATGAACCAGCAGCAAAATTATAAACAAACGACGTTATCTGATAACAATAGCTTTGATTTCAATCCATTCGATGAAGTTTCTACCCCCTCAAATTCTCCACAAAAAACAAAAAATAATGACGATGGATATTTTAGCTTTTCTCACGCAAGCGCCAAGAACAATATTTGGGCTGAAAATAAATATTTCTCTCCTCATCAAGAATCAAAGCGTAATTTTTATTCAACGAATTATAATCATTTGCCACCTACTGTTCCGGCATCTCCAGCTAGTTATTACCGTCCTTCGCTTTATTCTTCACCAGTCAGTGAATGTGAAGAGGAAACTTTATTCGCTGACGAGTATTTTAGTTGGAATAATAAGAGAAATTATGAAAATAATTTTATCCTTCTTCTATAATATTTTATAATATTTCTTTTTAACTTTGTTCTTGGGTGCTTTGGTTCACTCATGAATTTATTTTATTCAGTGGGAAGAATTGGGTGTGTAATAAATTTTGATACCGCAACAATTTTATATTTCGAGCAGTACTTGCTGTTAATTTGTTATTTTTACCTTAATACTTACTTAATATTACTTACATTACATTTAATTTTAATATATGATAAACTAACTATAATATGGGTTATACAATTTTATTTATTTTATTGGGTTGGGAATTAATACATTAAAGCTTATTTAATGGGCAGTTTATAGATTTATTGTTATTACTTTGAAAGTTGAAAGTCGGAGTTTTGATTAGTCTCCCTTAAAATAGTAAAGTTCGGAAATTATTCATCAATTTCATTTAAGGGAGGGTGTAGTAAGAGCCTTAGTATCCTGGTAATTACTACTTAAATTCGCTCTTTATATATATAAATTAATCTAAGAATTCAAATCTTTATTTTTTTTTTTATTTTTTTTTTTTTTCATCATATATATGTATCAGGCGTAATATGATGAAATTTACAGTATCTAAAAATAATAATAAATGTTCCGTATAATAAAAATTTGATATTTTATTTTTTTTTTTAACAGTTACGCGCAATTTTATAAATTAAGTAAATTCTTTTTAACCATAATTATTAAATTTTTTTTTTAAAGAAATAAAACAATAAATTAGTGACAATTAAATTTCATTTGCAATAATGATTTTTTATATACTAAAATCGGCATGTTTTATCATATTATTGTAAATATTTATATAATATCAATATTTATTATATAAACTTTATAATTATTATTTACAAGATTTTTTAAATTTAAATTTAACTAATTATTATTAAATTGTATATTATTGGTTTTAAAAAATTACAATATATATAATATATTTAATAAAAAAAAATTATTAAAATTAATTGATAAATAGAATATAATTTTCATATTTACATAAATTTGCACAAGTTTATTTAATTGAATATATCATAAATTGTATAAGTTTAGATAAATTTTTAATAAAATATATATTTGAATTATTTTAATATATAATAAGAATTAATTTGTAAAGAATAATTTTATAATTTTATAAAAATAAAAATTTATATACATAAATACTTTATAAAAATTAAAAAAATATTTTTAAGTTAATATTATATTTAAATATTTTTAAACTTTAAAATCATATTTAATATATGAAATATATATATAGAATTAAATTAATTAATTAATGTAATAATTTATTTATATAAAAATTCTTAAGTATAAATTAATATAAATTTATAAAACTTATATAAAAATAAAATTATGTAAAATTATAAATATAATTTATATAAGTTTATAAATAAATTTATATAAATCAATAAAATGTAATTAAATTAAAGTTTTAATATTATAAATCTTAAAAAAGAATGATTTTATTAGTTATTAAAATTTATTTAAATAATAAAAAATATATAATTAATTTTATTATTTATTAATTTTTATATTAATAAAAATGTTTAAATTTAGAATAATTTATAAAATTAGAAAAATAAAATATAATAATAAGCTATTTATTATTTAATATAAATACTTCCTTTTTATAATAATTTTTTTCTAGAATATTATTTAAATATTCTAATATAAATTAATTAAATTTTGAATTATATTATATTTTTGAATATTTTATAAGATATTAGATTATTAAATAATAGGATATTTTAATGTAGAATATATTAAAATTTTGAATGATTTATATTAAATTAAAATTTTAGTTCAAATTAAATTAATTTAATTTTAGATTGTAAAAATTTTAGTTTAATTTATTTTAATTAAATAATAATAAAATATTATTCTTAATGAATAATAAAAATATCATTTAGTAAAAATAATAAAAACTTATTAAATTAAAATAATCAAAATATTATTTCTATTAAATAATAAATATAATTTGATAAGAACAATTAAAATTACAATTTTCATTGAATGATTAAGACATTATTTGATGAAATTATTAAATTATTATTTTAATTGAATAATAGGAACATTATTTAATAGAAATTATTAATAAATAATTATATCTATTAAAATACAATTTAATTAGTAATTTATTATTTCATATATAATTATATTAGAAATATTTAGAATCCTGATATTATATTTTTTCAAACTAATATCATATATACCTTAACTACTTTTGACTAATAATATAATATATTCGTCTACTATAATAATATTGAATTTGATAATTACTTAAACAATTTAAATAGTTATAGTAAAAATAAATCTGATTATATATCAGTTGATTATAATAATTATAAGTTTAATTATGAGTCAGATGATAAAAAAGTATTTTATAATTTAATCAGTACTAATGAGATATTATTAGTTTGTTTAATTACTAAATATAAAAAAGCAAAAAACTAATGTTTTAAGTAGAAAATGATTAATAATAAACTTTTTTTTAAAAATATATTAATAAAATTCAAAAAAATTTCTTATCACTACCTAGATTATATTAAACAAAAAAGGGTTATTAGATTATCCTTTAATCTGTTTATTTTACTTTTTGAATATAAAGAATTCTAGTTTATTTAATATTTATGATCAAAATAAAGTTTCAGTTGTAGATAACATTTCTGAAGTATACACTTTACCTAAAATTTATGAATATATTAATGATTAAATTCTTTAAGAATTATAATTAATAAAATTAAGGCTAATGATGTATTTATCTGAATTTGTTATTCTTTATAAAAATTTTATATCAAATTTTAGATTGCACTTGGAGGAGATTCTCAAAGGTTTAATAATTGCTATATCATCAGATTATAGTAAATGTTATTATGTATCAGCTCTTCTCATTAAAGATTTACAGAATTAGTATTTACTTTAACTAGTAAAAAATTTGATAATTATATTGATTAAAGATTATCTAATCAAAATTTTAATTTACATCTTATAGGTTTGGTAAAAAAAATCGCGTGAATGCATTTTTCAGTTCTCACTAGACAATAGAAGGTTCCCTTATTTATTTATTTTATCATTATATGTTTTATAAAGAAACTAAAGTTTATATTTTATAATTGCAAAACGATTCTGCACAAAAGAATTCGGATACAACTGAGAGTAATAAATTAATGCCAACTGATCTCTCACTTCCAACATAAAGAAAATACTTTTAATAATTGTTCTTTTATATTTAATGTTAACATCAAAAAAAAATTTAATTAAAGTATCCTGTATATAATAATTAATAAATACATGCTAAATTATCAAATTTTTGTTTTAATGTATTTTTATATAAGTAATAATTTATTATGGTCAAAGTTTAAATAAACTCTCTCCATGACAAATTATTCCATGGACAAATCATAAACGGCTGTGTATTTTTTAGTATGTTGCAACATATTTAATTCTACCATCTTTGATCGTACCACTTTAATCTTGAATCGTATTTCGCATTAAGAAATTAATCATATAGCATATCACAAGCGACACTTTAAATTTTGGTATAGTTGTTTTTATTGTTTTTAGCTTCGGACACACAACAGATCCTGCTAACCTAGTATTATTTAACTACTATATTAATTCATTGACAAAACTGCTAAAATGCGATATTATATTTTTTATTTCTATCTATTTATACAAATATAATCAGCTAGGCGAATTACGTTACTTGGTATTTACAATCTATCTTTATTTACATCAATGCTATTGAAATGCGAAAATCCACATTCCTTGAATGAAAGGTCATTTTTCAGTGAATCCGGATTAGTCAATTTTGTTCCAGAAGAAATATTTGATCGAGGAAACAATGTATCATTTTCAGCACTGTCATCATGATTCATAAAGGACTCATGATAAGGAATTGGATTTTGGGGTCTTAAGATTGGAGATGATGATATTCCTATTGATTTCGAGATAATTATTAGACTTGAGAGAAAAAGATCGCAATTTTTTAATAATTTACGAACCTTGTTTAAATTCCTCTCCAACACTAGCGTAATTCATCCAAACCTGAGAAGGTACCCAAGCAGGTGAAGATAAGGTGATATCATCATTTTTGCCCTTTGAAGATGTGTATAAAAATCGTGAATTAGAGATTATTTCATTTAATTCCTCAACAGCATCTCCAAGAATTGATTCTTGTTCATTTTGTTCATTTTTTCGAAAACTAAATTATCAATTCATGGTTAATTAGTTTAATAATAGTGGAGGAGTAGATCATCAATGGTTACCTGTTGTCAACATCATACTCGAATAAATCGTTTATATCTAATTCCAATTCCTGTTTTCGAGGTCCCTTATTATCTTTATGTGGTAGTAGTACCTCATCTTGCTGAACAAGAAATTTGTTTCTTACGCCTGAACCTTTAAGTCCTGAAGTCATTTCAGACATATTAACTCCAACCACAGTATTCTGTAAGGTTGTAGCATCTATAATAACTTTCAGGCATTCCATATCTTTGCGACGTAAAGAACTCGTATTTTGTAAAGTACTATTTGTATCATGTTCAGAAGAAGAATTCTTGAACCTGCTACGTAAAATATTGGTATCATCGAACATGATTGGTTTTTTGCAACATGAATTTAAAGTTATTAATGGAACTTTATAAGTTTGATACATGAAAACTACTTATTTTATATAAAAGGTTATTTTTTTTTTTTTTTTATAGAATTATTTAACAAAGGTATATATATTAGTCGAAATTCAAAAGAAGCTATTTATCAATAAAAAAAAAAATATATATTATTATTTTTTTTATTTTTTTTTTTTTTTTTTGATAGATGTGCGTATTTTATGATCAACTTTGACGTAAATATGAAATACATTTTCTTAATCACTGATGAGCATGGCTTTTATAATAATCACGGTTGTTTGATTAAATGAAATAGTTTAAAATTGGCGCAGCAGAATTTTTTTTTAAAAAAAAAAAACTATATAACTTGCACGAAATGTAGTTTTTGCACAGCATATATCAGACATACGTAACTGCAGTTCGATAAAAATTAAACATTAGGACGGGCCAATTAAGTGAATTTTGTCATGTAAAAATAAAATAAAAATTTCGCGTCAAACTTATTATGATCACATGATGTACTAACGTCTTACAAAAACGATTCTCCCATGCAGGGGACGATGATTGTCTGTGATTTGGCCAGAATTATGCAATATCAGCCAACATTACGATTCGCAAATTCTGGCCAATCTTAATGTCAGCCAGCATTACGATGATTGCAAATCCTAAATCGGGCCACAATTTTGAAAATTATCAACCTTATGTGAAACAGAAAATCATCGTCCTTGCTCCCATAGGACTTTAATTCACAAATTCGTTTAAACGCTTTATTTATCAAAGTTTAATAAAGGTAAACTATTAGCACTATGTCTAGGACTCTTTGAAATAGATCCACTAGCTGCTGGACTATTTATGTTATTAGTACCTAACGAAGAATTTCTCGATCTTCTCGAATATTTAAACTGCCTTATTGTATCATCGCTAATATTCACTTCTTCATTATCTCTTTCATTAACAGGAGGAGGTTCGATAATTTGAATCATTGAAGGTGAACTCGAGGATCCGTTTCGATGGTAATAAGAGGAAGTACGAGATCTGGAATTGACTCGTTCTTTACCTTTTGATTTATCAACCAAAGAAAAATTTTTTCTTTCCATGAGAGAGTTTTCGTAATCTTGTTCGTTTAAAGTTAAATCATCTTCAGGAGGAGGTAATTGTTCTAACTCTTCATAATCTCTTCGTTTCTTTCGAAATTTTCGTTTAACCAATTTCAATTGATCAATATAATACGTATCTAAATAATACTCTTGTAACAGTACCTATTATTAATATCCCCCAAAAAAATAAACAGAAAAAAAAGGTTAACAAACCATCATTTAAAATTTTCACATTTATAAAAAAAACAAAAAAAAAAAGTTGTAATTTCTATTTCCATGGTCCCTTACTTCTATTATTTGAAGTCTTTCTTCTATTGAAGAATCTGGAGGCATTCGTTTGACCTTTTCACCAAATGGGATGCCGGCACTTGAAACATAACGATTTGCGAGATTTTTTTGAAAACTTCTTCTACAAGGCCAACAAATAAAGATAGTTTTTTGAGCCGCACCCCAAGGAGATAACTTTGGATTACCAAATAAATAAAAGAAAATTCCTGCACAAGCTGTATAAAAACCACCAAGGCTTGATATATTTCCCGCAACTTGATACAATTTTGTACAGAAGGAAAATGGGAAATTTAAATAAAATAATAATAATAATAATAACTTCACATTCTTTCCATTACTTACTTGTTAACCGATGATGTTCTTGTTCATATCTGGTTGAATTCGATTTGCCTTTAATTCCAACAACGATCTTATTCTTTTGTGGCAAATCAGGAAAATTTGTTTCATACCAATCAATTTTTAAAATGTTGTGATATTTAGAATATTCAAACAAACCGATTAAATTCCAAAACAAATCCGAATAAGGATTGAATATAGTGAAAGAATATTCTAATAACAACCATTGACCACCTGTCAGATAAACCTTTGGAACCGATAGTTGATATACTGAACTATTAATGGGATTTTTCATATACAAATCATCTTGTAAATTAAATTCATTAATACCAATCGTCAGGAATGTAGCTACCGTAAAATTTTGACTTGATTCATCAGAAGTTTCAAATGTAATTTCTTCAAATGAAGTATCAATATTATCAATTGTAAACCACATGGTATTATAAGAAATTCCCATTTGCTTATATACTTGACATTGTCTTGATTCTTGAAGGAAATTATAACATGAACAAGTCGATATTTCGTTCGGTGTTTGGCATTCACATTGTATAGGATTTAATGTTTGGGTGCTCAACATATCTCGATAAGGTATTCGTCTCCTTTCTAAACAAAATCTTACTTCGGGAAAAACATGGTATTTTTTTTCTTCAAATATCAGCACTCCCGGGATTTTAAATTTATGATAGAATTCGGTAAATTGTGCAAATGCATAGAATAAGATTAATATCGTTAATATTAAACCAATGGTTCCTCTTATAATTTTGAACCAAAATGGTTCGGTTCGTTTTGTTTTAAAAATTGAATCAAATACAAACATGATCGAGTTGATTCAGAACAAATCTGTCACAAACGACTTTTATTTATCTTGTATATGCATTCATTGTACAATGACTATACTTAAATTAGATTTTTGAAATAATAATTAACTATCTACAATATGCATGCATTTAAGGTAAGAACGAATTGATCCAGGTTTTCAAATTCAAATTTTCAATCTTTCAACGATGAGGAACAGGATTAAAAATCAGAAAAATATCAGAATTAAAATGAAAGAATGGATAGATTCATATAATACATTAGAAAAAATCTTTTTGATAATAATTTGCATATATATAATATTTTTATTCTTGAATTCGATCGTAACCATCGATTATTCCGAACCGATCGTTATTCTCATCCCATTCATCATTTTATCTGCCGGATTTACCGTAAGCTCGATATCTATTTAGAAGAAGTTTCTTTTTTTCCTTTCATAAACTAATCCTATCATATATATATATGTACGGATCAATAGGTTAGAGCGAGAACACTGATACGTGCGATTTTATTTTGTATCTTAACAACTATTCCCATATTGTTTTTTATTTTAAATTTGATGTTTGATTATAACTTAAATGATTATTGCTTAAAAAAACCCAAAAATATTTCGTATAATTTTTGTATTGATTCTTATCAAAGTAAGTTCTGTTTTTGTTTGTTTGGTGATGTTTGTTTTTTTTTTTAATCATAAAAATTTTTTTTTTTTTATTTTTTTTAGGAATTTCATTGAAGAATAATGATAGTATAGAGAGAAAAATTAAACATGATTTTGCTGTTTTGATTATTTTATGTATTTTTCAAATTATGTTCTTATTTATCGTGGTTTTACTATGGTGTAAGAGGTAGGTTAAACGCAAAGATACAGATGTATAAGAATATAAAATGTAAAACAAATACAATTAATTCAATTCATTCGTTTATGTATGATACACAAGATATTGGAAATTGTTACCGGAATTTACTTTAACGACACGTAAAGACATTGAACGTAAAAATTTCTTAAAACATTTTACACCACCTTTATTTCTTTTATTTTTTTTTGATCTTTTAAAAACTAATTCGTATTTCGTTCTTCTTTTCCCATCCTGTCATAGGAATGTTTACACAATATATTGTTTTAATCTTTTTTGTTCATTCAAATATATTGATAACTGGATCTTGGATGATAATAATTTTTTTTTACCAGTTAGAATTACTTTTATGGAATCAAGATGATTATCTTCCCAAAGACTTTACCGATATCATACCTTATTACATTCCTCTATTTATCCTTATGATCTTAATGATAAAGAAAGGGGTAGGTTGATATTTATTTTTAATTATTTTTAGAATACTTCATGTTTTTTTTTTATTTATCAAAGCAACCTTTCTAAAAAAAAAAAAAAAAATTTTGGAATAGGTTCAAAAAGAATCTAGATCAAGGATGTTTTGCTTTTACGTTCTCAATTTTACTTTATGTATAGTAATAATATCCCAAACGATATCCATATGTACTATTCCTACCAATTATATTGGGCCTAATTCTCCAGTAAAACAATGCGATTTCGCAAATAAAATTCGGTGGTCACCTCCTTATCAATTCACTCTCTTTACAGGTATTAAATTTTATTATATATTTTTTTTTTTTTGTTAATAAATTATATTAACTTTTAAAACGTTTTATTATGTCTTAGGAATGATGTCTATTATAATTTTAATACATACCTTGCTTTTTGGATATTTATCTCAGAGAAATTTTGGAAAGAAATTTAAAATTTATCGCAAGTATTTTTTACATTTCAGACATTTATTCTTTATTTTTAATCATTATAATATTAATGGTGTTAATTTTTATAGTGGCTTATGAAGTTGAGCCTATTGAATTTGAATATAAAAATGATCCATTTTTAGATCTAGATACTGACGATGACGATTTATAATTAATTATTAAAACAATTGGAACAACAAAAAAAATAAAGCCAAACCAAAATTTAATAAATAAAAGTTATCCGAAAAGCTTAATATATAACATTCTGACCTGCACATTAAGTTCTGACCTTGTTCTGATGTGTTCCATAGCTTCCTCGCTCTCACATCTTCACTTTTTTTTTCCCCCCTAATGAGAATACAACATCGCTATTATAGCAGCACCAATACAACCACCATTTTTAATTCCAACCAACTTTACTTTTTTATCTTCCTTGACGTCTTGTATTTCTCTAAGAGTCTTGGCCATCCAGAAAGAATACTTATTAAAATGATGATAAACTGATCCATCAACCGCTATTCTAACCTCTCTTTCAATCTCTTTAATATCTCCACATTGAAATTTAATTAACGATGCGGCAACCACTGCCGATAATTGCGCTGACCTATGCGAATACCTTTTCACCAATTCTCTAACTTTAAGCATGTCCTCATTTGACAAACTATCTTTGGGTAATTTGAAGTCTTCTGTTAATACCTTTACAAGATTTTCTGGATTAGAAGATTTGTCACTGCGTTAAAAATTTATAAAATAACACATTTGTTAATAGAAGATCCTATAATATAATAAAAAAAAAGTTTGATGTGGTTTCTGACCTTTCAATGTTTGACATTTGAATGGAGGTGAAACTATAAGGAACTTCCATTCCTCCGGGTAACACTCCTCCAAATAAATTTAAATTTTTAACGTAATCAACGATAGTCAACCTAACTAATTCACCTAAATAGAGTCCGCTAACCATTTTTTCAAAAGGTTGAAACCCCGGCGAAGAACTTTGTGAATCAAGAATTTTGTCATATTTCGTTCTTTTTAAAAAGTCTGAACCCATCAAACTTATTTCAGTATTAACTATCATGGTTTGAGGAAAATTAGGTTTAAACACATGTTTCTTAATCTCTCTAGATTCTACAATACATGCCGCATTTGTTCCCGTTCCCACAATAATCGACACAATTGTATTTTGATCTTTATATGCATGTGCCACAAGGGTTCCAACTGTATCATTAACAATGGCTGGAATATTTACTTTTATCTCCTAGAAATATACATGAAAATTTATTATAATTAAAAAAACAAAAGTAATACTGTACATGTAGGATTAAGAATAGTTACCTGACGATCGAAAGCATCTCGTAAGAGTTCAATTACATCATGATCCACCAAACCGGAGACATTGAATGACTTGCCCATCTTCATCACTTTGCCTTTATCTATATTAGTTTGCCTTTAACAATGAAAGATTATAATAAATTTACTTGATTCACTTGCACAGGAGAGATTTTGGTTTGATTGAGAATTCGATACTTACTTGATCGGAAAACTGAATGTTACGCCCATGTACAATTCTTTATCGGCGATTTTGGCTTTAACTCCAGGCAGATCCAACAAACTTTTAGTACCATCAGCAATCCAATTAAATAAAGATTCAGCATCACCGTTCTTTAACTCTTCAGGTATAGGATACTGTTTATGTTCAATTTCTGTTTTTCCATCACCAAGTAAAGTAACAGCTGCCACGCGTAGATTGGTCCCACCCAAATCTAAGGCAAGATATGTACCAGTTTCCGTACCAGTTGGTAACCGACAAACAAAGGAAGGGATCATTGTATTCTCATCTTTATCAAGACCGTGACGGAATGACCGTGAAAAACCATTTAATATTTCCTCTAATTCTCTTTTTCCAAAAGCCGTTTGCTTTTCTAATTCAACTAAACTTGGCGTTGGTTCGTCCATAATTATAATAATTTCTACTAAAGAAGACAAAAAAAAATTTTTTTTATGTAATTGTAATGTAAGGAAAGGCAGGCAATTGAATTTTAAAAAAAAAAAGGTTGAGCAACGCACGCACACGCACGTCCTTGAATAAATATATTATATATAACTTAAATTAAAAATATTTATTGGTAACTTGATAACTTAAAAAAAAAAAAAACCCGAATCTTCGGAAAGTTGGAGAAAAAAAAAAAGGTATACAATCAAAAAGATCTTCACATGATGAACTCAAGTATTCGTGTTACAATCTATTTTAGTGTAATGAAGTTAAGATAATATGATAATCATTAACTATTGTTTATCCCAAAAGGAAATCTTTTTACTCGCATACAATTAATTCCCTTAAAAAAAAAAAAATCCCTCATAGGCAAAATCTACATTGATAAAAAAAGGACTTCTTTTTTTTTTGTGGGTTGGGTATTATGAATTGAAAAAAGTGGGGATTTACATAACAGTTTGAATAATTAATGTACTTGTTTTTTTTATTGTATGATACCTTTTCTTACCCATATTTACTTACTTGGATCATCCAAAGTATGGTGATAAGATCATAAATTCGTCATCGTACATAAATAATAGAATACCATCATTTTTTGAGGTGGAGGCTTGGGCGTATTTAGTTCTAACGCCATGCATTTCATCGGTAGAGCAACTTTCTCCACGCGTATCCCATTTCTATATAAATCCAATGTTTTTTATGTAATCTCAAATCACGCATTGTCGTATAATTAAAGATAGCTTATTCTGCGTTGCATAAGGCGGATCAAGAGTGAATTATCCTCTCACGGAGGACCGCATTTGAATAAGAATTCTTATATTATATTTATTGAACACAACAGCAACATGAATAGCCCCAATAGCCTAATGGATATGGCGTCGCCCTCCTAAGGCGGAGGTTCTAGGTTCGAGTCCTAGTTGGGGCGAAACTTATGTCAATTAAGATATTGCACAATTTTTTTCTTTTTTATTCTTTATTTAAACGGTGATAAAATATTTTTTAGGAAATAAATTAACAAAAAAAAAAAAGTTTTGATAGTAAAGATTGTTTATATTTAAATAAAACTTTCAATGAACAAAATGTTGGACCAAATCAACACTTTTCACACGTGAACCTTTTCCTTCCGAATTATGCTAATAATTAATGGAAAGTCAACCTTCCAAACCATTTCACCTCCCCTCAAACATCTCGTCAGCCCAAATCTTTTCTTTTCATTCATTCCGACGGGAGTCAAAGCGGCTTCTTTAACTTGCCGCAAGACATCATCCAACAATTTAGTATCAAACCTTCCTTCGTTAACATCGGTTAATTGACCAGCCAATAAGAGGACGGCCATATCGGCTAAAGATCTTGCGTAAAATGAACTGGGTAAACTATATGAATTAAATGTTGGTATGGTTTTAACTTTACGTTTGTGAATTTCGAACGATGTTGCATCATCACTATCATCATCTACTTCAAATTCATTCAATTCTAAAGAGTGAAGGTGATCAATAATTTCTCCTTCAAATAATAAAGAATTTCTTGAAGAAATTATTTGTTGAGCCTTTTGAAATATTTCTTTATCATCAAAGCTAAGAGAACCCAGTATATTGTAATGTGCGAAGTAAATCGTACCACCTGGCTTCAAAAGTGAATAGAGAAATTTTGAAAAGGAAATGATGTCGTTTGATGGATCGATACTTGGAGAATTTATATCGACCCTATTATTGGGGAAATTTACCGAAAAAAAAAAAAAAAAAAGGTTGTGTTCAGTGTTAATATTTAAATAAATTTTCCTTTTCAAGAAAAAACAAAATGAAGATCCTTAAATAAAAAATTACAGGTAATTAATCACATGTAGACCATTAATAAAGTCCAAGGGAGTAAGGGGCAAAGGCGTCTCAAAATCACCAATTTGGTGGTCAACAAAGTAATCTTGTACCCTTCCGTTATAGACAATTCCTTGGTTCAGATGAGGGAACTCGCATATCTTTTGTTGATAAGCTTTTAATAACATGGAATTTGGTTCGACTACGTGTATAATATTTTGTCTATTTAATTGAATATTCTTTTCAAGTTCTTTGGCAAGACACCAATCGATGATTTCACCAGCGCTCGCCCCGATATCCAACAGATGAAACTCGGGTGAATCCGCTGTATGAAATAATTCGGTTTGCAAAGCTTCGTGAAGGGTTGGAAGTATAAGTTCACACGAATCTGTCCCTAATATATCGGATGCAGAATGAAGGCTTTCGACATTTCGTTTTGGCAACATCATTCGTTGACTAAATATATGTTCATATACTTGAGAATTTGTTAAATTCGCGAATTCGGCGAGAACTTTGTGTTCCGCGTTCAGTTCATCCGGTGATAAAGCTGCAATTGAATCACTTAATATATTCATATTTTTTTTATTTTATTTTTTTGTTACTTTGGAAAATGAAGTGAAAAAGGAGTTATTTATTTATGTTCATAAATTTATTATTTTCTCACAGCTGACACATCTGGACTAGTAAATAAAGAGTATATACGGTAATTATTACATAAAACGATCATACCCGAACATTTCTTTTGGGTTAGCTTGATCATGGGATTAAATGATTTAAAAAACAACCCGTTCACGGGCATTGTCGGGATTATTAAGGCTTAGAGTCTTCAGTGTTTAACATGTCAAAAAAATAGGCGATCAAATCAATGGAAATTTTCCTTTTATTCTTGACGCAGTAAATGCAATAATTTACCAAAAGTTACCCATTTCTAGAAAATAAATGTTAAACCCTATTTTGATACTACATTACACGAAAGTTTGATATAAATATTGATTTTGGTTATCTGTATAACTTTAATTTTAATTTGTCAATTAAACAAATATGTAAATGTTTTTTATTAGAAAGAATAAAAAAAAAAAAGAGAAATATCACACTTTGTTTAAAAGATTAAGCGAATATAAACTATGCATCCAAATATCTTATTGTTTAGACATTATATTTCGAGATGAATTCTTTAATAAAAGTTTTGAAATAACAATCTTTTAATAACCCTTGACCGGAAGCTTTTCCCGAAATTAAATTTATCTTTGAACTACATAAAATGTTATTTTTCATCAAAATGTATAAATCAAAATCATCAAATCGTTAATTAAAGTATCTCTCAATTAAAAAGTTGTTTTTTTTTTGCTTAAAAATCCTTTTCCCTTGCAACCTTTTTTTAACAAATCATCGTCATTCAAAGACCATTTAAAGGTGTGAGCGTTCATCATATCATAATTTCTATTTTTGAAATAATTCCTTACAAATATTGAGGCATTTTTATAAAAGGTTCTGATTTGATATCAAAAAACTTCCAATACCTATTGTTAATCAAATTCAAGGCTTCTCAATAATTATTTCTTTAAGTTTCATTTTATTCTCTCTTACGTTTTTTATAATTAGTATTCTCACTTGCATATTACCTAATATCATATTTAAAACTTGTAAATTTGTATTTGCATCTCTATGCTATGCCTTTGTATCAATTAATAACTTTTATCTTCAAAAGTAAACATAGATCTTTAAATGCAATTATAATCTAAAATATAATCCAAATTAATTTCTTAAAACTCATTTTTGATAAGCATATTGAACTTTATATTGCAAAATCATATTAGGTTTTCATTTTCATATACTTCTAGTTATAATATAAAATTAGTTATTATTATATGAGAATTATATGAGAAGAAAAAATATTGCAATAAACTTCAGACCTTTACTATTAATTATATCATATTAGAAAACCTAAAAGATATCATTAAATCTTTATTTTAATTTTAAATAATTTATTACATAATCTATTTCATTAATTTTTTTTAATACAAAAATTTTAAAGCTTGTTTTTCTATTTAACTTCTTCTAAAAGAAATTTTTTAATATAATTGCAAAGTTTTATATCTTTTTTTCAAAAATACTAGTTTATTTATTTATAAATATAATGC